ACTGTGCGGTCTAGGGCGGGTCGAAAATCTAAAACTAAAATTAAACTTTTTAGATGAATTTGAGGCCGCTGAACTAGAATATGAATCGATTTATTTAAAAAAATAAATAGTTTTGGAGATTTTAGTGAAAGTCATGTTTTCTAGGGCCTTTCGGTCCTCTTGCTAGAAATCTGCGGGAATGTAAGGCGAACCCAACTATGTTATATATTTCGAAATAAACATCTGTTATGGTGTTATATTAGTGATGATTAAAAAATAGTTTTGGGTATACAAGCGTTTAAATTTAGATAAATGCCAATTTAGATACATCTACGATATTTCAGTAAATATTGTATGCAAATTGTTAAAAATTAGTATGTAAAGTAAAATTTTGGAACAAAATACGATTATTATTAAATTTTTAGAAAATGGGTGTGGCCCCGCCCACTTATGATGAAATGCTATATCTCAGTATCCGCTTCACTAATCCGTACCAAACTCGGTATGAGCCTTGCTTAGGCTATATCTAACATAACTGCTATAAATTTCTGAAATCGGGCGATAACCACGCTCACTTCCCATATAATGGTAATTTACAGAAACGCGAAAACTGCGATAAATCATTAACTACTGAAGCCAATTCACTCAAGATCACGGTAACCGATTTATCAATTTGTACCAAACTCGGTGCATTAATAACCTTGGTATGGAAAAGCAATACGTTGAAAATACGAACACTCCGATATTTCAGTAATTGAGGACGCTAGTTTACTCCAAGTTAATATTTACAAAATTCTCTTAACAATAAATAAGACCGTAGTTTTATTACAATAATAATAATGTAGTTTTATTACATTTCGTGCGTTCGAGCTACGTAATAATTAGCGCAATATTGCAGACATGTTGCTGATGCTCAACTGAAACTTTTCTAAAATGTTGCAGAAATTACGCAGTAAAAATTTGTATGTTGCTTTTGATTTGCCAATGCTGAGTAACTGATTGTCAAAACTTTGTTCGCCCAAATTTTCGCGTAGAAAGTGATACTCTTTCATAAAAGAGTAACACTGCCGCATTAATTGCAACTCGAATACACCCATTTCTTACCTATACTGTGATACATATTTGAATTATTTAATTCCTTTAATTAAAGTTGAATTTGATTTTTAAAACCTGGGAGGTTCCTTAGAGATAAAGCCCTTTCAAACCCATTTCCATTGATACCCATATTGCAGCAATTCATTTAACTAATTGAACAAACTTTTTTAACAGGTGGCAACTCTGTTAATGTTTTAACCTATATACGTCTTTTCTAAACATTTCGAGTTAAAATATTCATAAAAATAATTTTGGCCACATAAATCGGCTAAATACCACAGTTGCCATTTTGGTCCAAATGGATCAAATTTGGTGCATTTCTTTTCGTTTGGTCCATTGGTCCAATTCTTTTGAAAATGGTCCATTTCACAAGGTTTTGGTTAGGTTATTATTACCCTTTCACTTCATGCAATAGATAAATAGATAGATAGAGTGTTAGAGACTGTGCACTGCGACCTTAGGTCTATTGTGCCCTCGGAGCTCATCATAACACATCGTCCAGTCCCAATGCTCTGGTGAATCCGAGCAGTTTCGAGGGAGGTGAATGCAATAGTTTCGCGTTTTCAATTTTTTCTATTTAATTGATGAATATTCCGCCCCATGTTGAATATCGTCATCGTCAGTAAAAGTGACGATACGGCCATTGTCAGCCATGTTGCTGATGCGCTGACGATTGTCGACGATGACGATGACGATATTCAGCATAGGGCCGATTGGCAACACCAGCTAAAAGTGTGAACTCGCCTTGCCACTGATCTTCAAATATGGCATGGCTAATCTGTCAAAGCATGCTTCAAAAAATATCGCGCTTTCTTGCTAATTTCAATTACTCGGTGACCAATATTAAAGTGGCTGGCAAAAATATGGAAAGGTAGCAAAACTTAAATCATAGCATTTAGCACATGAAAATAATATTCGATTTCAATCGAAAAGATATTAAACATCTTGAAATTATTACACCACATAAAGTTATTTCTGATACTGATGAATCAATTTTGCGGCTACTCGGCCAATTTCCTGCATTGGTAAAAATGATGCAGACATAATTGAATTTCAATTTCGCAAATTGAGGCTGAGTGAAGGTAACTTCAAACTGTATCAATATAGAACGTCTTTGGGATCAAGTAAGTTTGATTAAAAACGGATTGGGGAAGCGGCTTTTGGAGAAATGTGTGATTTAGTTCATAACATTTTTAGTCTACCTTACAGTTCCGCAGCAGCTGAGCGCAAATTTTTTTATTTCATTAAAAAAATCGTAAAATTTCAAAAATTACATAGCTGCGACAGATATTCTGCATGGTGGCATTTTTTTTTTAATTTTGTGGTGCACTCTTGAAACTTCACAGATATGTTGTATTTGATGACAACGCCCATTGCCTCAAACATGAACATTCTTGAAAACTTAAATTTAGTTTAGTAAGTAGAGTGGAGTACTAAACATACATTTTATTAACTTGTTTCCATACAAAGGAAGAATATTAACAGGAAATATGACTACTATTTTCTTACTACAAAAATATTAGTCCGGGAGCTAGCGACAGTTTTTAGTGACTTATTTTATCGTTTTTTTTTTATTTTTAATCACGTAAATCCAGAAAGCCAACCACTTACACCCAGTTAGCGGGACAACGCCTACATGAAGCGATAACATTGTGTAAAATAAAGGTGGTGCATCCTGAGGATCTTGGTTAGGTTCCTTCATGACCACAGCATTCATCGCTTCGTTCAGTTCGCATGATTCCTCGTTTAACATAACACTTATTAGAATAGAGTGGTAATAGAGTAATTCTAGGTAAAATAATATTTCTTATTTACCTAGCGTGGGAAGACTCTGATGATACTGGCAATGAATTTGAGGAAACACCACGCAATGGAATTGACAAATCCCCAGCCAAATATTGTGGTAAGTATTTTTTGGGCAAAGCTTTAAAAGCACTCAGACATTTTGCGTGGTAACCATCGAGTTCATTTTCTATCGCCTTCTTTTAAACATTTCTCTGATTTTTTGAATTCGCAAACACTGTTCGAGATTTGTTTGCGCAAAGCGTTTTACCTTATCATACGCACGATTACAAAAAACATATTTTAATTTAACCATCTTGCGCATTTCGCTTTGAAAGTTCTTCCGTTAAAAGTCCGTTTTCGATTTCACAAAATATTGTGTGAAATATTGTATGTAGTGTATATCCATGGTGAAATAATAACAAGGTGTTGTCAGTAGCGACGTGTTTGTTGTAATTTTGACAAGATCGGCATGCTTATTTTCAGTGCTGCCGATCTTAATTTTTATAATGCTATTAGTTGGGAAATTGTATTTAAAATACTCCATTTTAGTATTTCATTTTATCTTGATTTTTAACCAACTTGGTGTTTTCAGAACGATATTAATATTTAAAATTGCTGGATTTGTATAATTTTTGCCCTCAAAATATAAAATATAAAAGATATCGTAGTTATCAATGGAAAAAGACGTACACAAAAATCGTATGGAAAGGCGATTTTTTTATATTAAATATCTTTTGCTGCATTGTCATAATATCGAGCCAAATGGACTACTGATACACCAGAATAGAGCGGCAGCATGGTTAAATTACGACTTAGCTTATATTATCGATATTTATCACCCCTATTGCGAGTGTCGATTAGCAGTAGAATAGACATTTTTCTATTGAGTCGATCATATTTTATTTTGGTATTGCGGAACTGAATCGATAAACAATTGTACAATTGTGAATGGCTTACTGAATTGCAATCAGCTGTTTCGGTGTTTGTTTACATTTTTGATATATTTGGCAAATAAAATAAAATACAATTGTCCAAAACTTTTCAATTTAACAATTTAAAAAAGAAAATACCACTAATGGATAGTATCGACGTGTGGTTCAGTGATAGTGATGACGAGGAAAGTGAAAGATTAGTAGAGTTAGCAAGAACGAGGAGAATGTTGAGGGATTCGTCTAATCCTCTGGAATTGGAGGAAAATATGTATGTATACGGTTTCAACGGTGCGTAGTTGATACAAACGTAATCAATCTATATTTTTTTAAGATTTTTGAAAAATTTTCGTCTTCCGAAGGCTGCATTTACGCATTTGCTCACACTATTAGATAGCAAACTGCAAGCTGGCGTTAGTAAAACATCAGTTCCAAATATTTTAAAGTTGGCAGCGACTTTGAGGTTCTGTGCTCAGGGGTCGTATCAGCTAAGTGTCGGGAACGAAAGTTGTATTGGGCTTGGCCAATCTACGGTGTCCATAATTTTGGCGGAAGTATTCAATGCTTTGGAGGAATGCGTCTGCAGATATTGGATAAAAATGCAAAACAGTGAAGAGGAAAAACGAGAAACAAAGTGTTATTTCTTTGGGAGGAGCGGAATACCCGGAGTAATAGGCTGCATAGACGGTACGCACATCAAAATTGTTTCCCCAAAAAAGGATCATCAGCATTTGTATTACAATCGGAAAGGATTTTTCAGCTTGAATGCAATGATAGTGAGTATTTATAAAGGAAATGCAACAATGGAGTTTATAATCTTTCTTCATTTATAGGTTTGCGACAACGCCATGCGAATCCGCTATATCAACGCGAAGTACCCTGGAGCTACGCATGATGCTAATGTTTTTAATATGTCTGCGTTGAAGCAACAATTAGAAGAAGAGTATCGTAGTGGCGAGCGAAATATGTTATTAGGTATGCTATGGCTAATTTATGTAGACATTCGAATGGTTGTGTCATAGCTATTTCCAATTTTAGGTGATGGAGGGTATGCCTTACAACCCTATATGCTTACGCCATACCGAAAGCCAGAGCCCGGATCAGCAGAATGTATGTTCAACGGTAAACATTCTCAAGGACGGAATATTGTGGAACGCACTATTGGGGTGCTCAAAAATCGTTTTAGGTGCTTGTTAGTCGCTGTTTTTTTGCATCAACTCCACTAATCGCGCTAGTTGCTTTTTGTTACTAACTACTTTTGATCTGTAATTTTAATATAATTATTTTATTACTTTTATTTATGTATATTTTTATTTATTTTCTTTAAATTTGCTTACTTTTTATCCATTTTCGTTCTTTTTTCATCAACTTTACTCTCCAACGACTAGAAAATGGCTGTAGAAAGATGATCGATTAAAAAGCATTCACAGTCGCTTGCTGAGCGTTCATTCGACACTCGCAATAGTTCGATAATCGATAATCGCTCAGTAGTCGATTATCTATTCTTGTTCGACACTCGCAATAGGGGTGTATGTGTTTTAATCTATCACCCCTATTGCGAGTGTCGACTGGCAGTAGATAAACGACTATTAAGCGATTATCGATTATCGATGCTATTGTGAGTGTCGCTTAGTCGCTCAATTAGCGACTGTGAATACTTTTTAATCGCTCATCCTTCTATTGCTTTTTTTAGTCGTTGGATTTTGCGTTTATAAAATTTACATAAGAAAGTGGTACTATAATTGATAAAAAGTAAGTCAATTGAATTGGAAGTTGTAAAAAATTGTGAAATATACATATGTATGTACATATGTGTCTGAATTACAGATAAAAAATTGTAAGCAACAAAAGGCAATTTGCGCGGTTGGTCGAGCTGATGCAGGAGAGTGAGGACATAGGCAAAGGAATTTCCATAAAGAGCAGGGGAGGAAGCTCCGCTTCTTTTGTGAAAGATATACAATATTTCTTGTGCATATAATTCCGGCTTCGCCATCCACAGTGTTTTTGCGCAGAACCAACATCAAAGTTTACAAAACACTGCATAATTTATTAATTAACTAATGCTCGGAAACTTGAAATCTTTATGTTAAATTAAAGTTTAATTCTTTCACTGCACTTGTATGTTAAAGTTTTAAAACTCGGGTCACGCGTTTGGACACAAATACTCAACATCATTGTACAAATAACTAAACGGTACCGTATTTCTTAAACTTCCATAAAATTTATTAATGAGGAAAACAGCTTTTCCTGCAAATCCTGTAAAACCTAAAAACCTTGAAGCATCGGGAACGCAACTTCTTTTCATAAAATTCACATATGTACATACACTTCATCTTCCAATTCCATGGGATCCGACGAATCTCGCAATTCCCTCCATGCTTTAGCCAACTCTACTAATCTATTAGCTCCCACATCATCTTCCTCATCACTAAACCATATTTCAACTGTGTCCATTTTTTAAATTTTATAATAAAAGCAATTATTTTAAAAATTATGTAAATGAAACATTAAAGAAACAAATGTAAACAAACAAACAGCTGTTTACAATTCCGTCACCATTCACAATAGTACAAATTTTTATCGATCAAGTTACACAATAGCAAAATAAAATATGATCGACTCGATCGACAAATTTCTATTCTACTGCCAGTCGACACTCGCATGCCAGCCGCTGTGGCGTAGTGGTAAGCAGCACGCGCTCCACTCCGCATCATCTGGGTTCAAGCCCTGGTCAAAGCAACATCGCAAAAAATATAGAAAAAAGGTTTTTTCTTAACAGCGGTCGTCCCTCGGCAGGCAATGGCAAACCTCCGAGTGTATTACTGCCATGAAGGCTTCTCATAAAAATGCAATCGCCGTTCGGAGTCGGCGTAAAACTGTAGGTCCCTCCGCTTTGTGTGACAACATCAAGGCGCACGCCACAAGTCGGAGGAGAAGCTCGGTCAAACACTAACATATGTGTAAGCGCCAATCTAGTATTATTATTACTAATCTATTTAAAAAATCATTTACAGTTTTATAGGAAATTGCCTTATTTTACGGCCTGCACTTTTTTATAAGTTACAATATATGTGCAACCTGTGTGGAGCTTACGATACAAACATATATTCAGGCTTATAAGCCTGTAATTAAAAATTTTTCTACATTTAATTTGAAATAGTATGCACGAACGGATTAAAAGTAGTAAATAGTTAGTACTTTTTCTACTACTTTAAAATGCGTGACCGGAATAGACCTGCCGAAAAAGTGAGGTTAAGTTACTGACAACATCTTGTTATTATTACACCTTGGTGTATATCATGATACAAAAAGAAGATAGTTTCATTTCGAAATTTTTGACAAAAAATAAGTTTTTGAAGTTTCATAAAATGTAAAAAATTATGAGCTGCCTTGCCACTTTGATGGCAATCAAACAATACATTAGAGGATGTTGTGTGTGGGAAATGTTCGGTTATTTGTACAATGATGTTTTGGAGGGGAACGGAGGGAGAAGAGTGTGTCACCTAAAACTACACTCATTAAAAAGAGCATAGTGTAATAATTTAAGAAAAGTCATCCTTCTCCTCCCCACCCCTTCTACAGGGAACGGGGGCCATTTCAAAATGGTAAAGTTAGCATTTTCGCAAAGCAAAATTAAACTCGTATTAGGCCATCAGCAGTATTTTTGCGCCAAACTCCTTTCCGCGTTGGTGACCTTCGGCTGCTCCAACTCCGGTTACGCCATCCACAGTATTTTTGCGCAAAATCCACCTCCAAATTTACAAAAAAAAGTACATATTTTAAACCGTAGTCTTATTTTGAATTGAAGCTTAGTCCTCTGACTAGACGCATATGTTAACATTTTTTGATTCAGGTAACGCGTTTGGACACGATAACCGAAAAGGTTTCTACAAATAACAGAACCGTACCCGAACTGTCTTACTTATGCATTTTTCTATAAACAAAAATTTTATAAAATGAAACTGTAGTTTACATCTTATGTGGATAATTCTTGTCACAAATGCATAGCCTATATTTATGTATATATATTTTTTTTAGCAGCGCCACATCTTTATCAGAAAATTCCGAGAATCCAAAAATTGGTACTGTTACAAGTTGCAGGGCATCATTAGGTGCGTTCGTTTAAAACCTCCAGTAAAAACCAACCAACTGCCAAATTCCGGCCAAATGTCATCTGTTCTCTCACAAGAGAAAAACATCCCAAATAGTACGCGAACAGAAAATTTGCAGAAACTTGCAAGTTAGACGAAAAGCTGATTGAAATTTTGTTTACATTGTAAATGTGTAAAATTTAAAACGTACGAAAACTCGTTAGAAAGTGGTATCCTGACACAGTTTATTGATTAAACGAATAACTACTTACTTCTTACAAGTTTAATTAGTCGCATTTTGTCATTTTTTACTTCCAAACCATCAAATTCAATTTTGTGATTTGCGTAAATCCAAGCCAGATGTTTTTGATCAGCTGTTTTCCTGTTGGCAAATTGCTGTTGGCAAAAATTTTCCCAGCGGAAACCAGCAGCTTCCCCTCAAAATGAAATGTCACTTCGGTCTCTCAATTCCCCTACTTTGCAAGTTTTTTGCGTACGCGAACGCAAAAACCTGAAAGTTTTGGTTGAACTTGAACAATTGACAACTACGCGAACGCAACTATTTTAACTCGACCTCCTGCCTCTTTCACGGATAACGGTACATCGTTTAGAGGTTTAAAAATATTTTGCGTAAGCAATTTGTCATCAAACTGCATTAGATCGTATTACGTACTCTATCCTCGGAAAAGCAAAAAATACTTTATTTTCGAACCTTTGCACAGGTGTACCGATTTCTTGCAGTTTGGAGATGCGCAAGAATTTTCTTTTAATATTTTCATCCAACTTCACTAACTTCAAAAATTTTATTTATTTTTTCAAGAAATACAAATTTTGCTGCTAGGGAATCTGGTAGCATGAAATTTAGTTAAATGTCATAAACTTGTTAAAAGCCAAGTAGCCGGCAACAACAACGAATGTCAATAAATGAAACTACCTTTTATTTTTGTATCATATACTATGTTTATACGCATGCATAAGTCGCTTTAATTCATTTCGCCGCGATTCAAAACATATGTATAAACTGAATTTAAATTCGCTTTGAAAGAGCGAAGTGTTTTGGCTCACACTCCATTTCAAATCGGTAGTTTATTTCTCCAGACAGTTAGAAAGAGTGTATAAACACCGCTCTCACTCAAAGCGAATTGGAGATCAGCTGTTCCACTCAAATTCCAAATAATCGCATCAGTATTTAAAAGCTTGATTATTAATAACCGTTCTATTTCTTTGCCACGATTTTATAATGCCGAATAAAACTAGATTTGTATCACTTTCCATTATGTTAACTTATAAAATGTCAAATGAAAACAACTAATTTTGTTTGCTTTTGAAGACGGTTACTTTGATGCCGATATAAGGCCGTAAGTATAAACACTAGAGCGAAATGTGTACGGTGTCAATGCGCTTTCAATTAAGTCGATTATTCTGTGCGTATAAACGTAATAATAGTGTATATTGTTATTAACCTATTTTCAAAGTGTGCTACAATGAACAACATGTAGTACAGTATGAGAGTTCAAGGTTCTCCTTGATAATGTGAAACAACTTTGTAACTTTGCCGATCACTTACAATCAGCGTTGCCGAATGGACGATTGCGTCGCCATTTTGACGTTTTTTTTTAGCTCAATGACGATTTGAAGATTTTTTCCCCGTAATGACGATTTTTTATTTTAGTTTTTCCACTAAATTACATATGTATGTATGTAAAAAATTTGGTACAGGAAAACAAAACTTCAAACCAGTGGAGTTCAACTATTTAAAAGCAGTTGTGTTTTAAATGGTCGTAAACAATTGCAAATCCACCTTTATTAGGGTTGCCAGATTTTTTTTTTGGCGCGGAATCCGTACATTATACTTTTTCATGCTACAAAAATCAATACTGTACTCAATACTTTTATTCCAAGCAGAATTATGAATGTAAGTAGTAGGTAATACTTTGAAATGCCAGAGTACTTGTTTTTAATAATATCTTGGTATGGGTAAGGCTTCCTCAAGTGGGCCCCCTAATTTACCAAGATTATACTATTATTACCAAGAAAAGCAAAAAAAAAAATTTGAATGCAAATAATTTCATTGTATAGTTCAATGTTTTTTAAATCTGCACCCAAAAACATTTTTTTATTCGGACACTTACTTTCAAAAAAAAAAATAAAAATTTCCAAAACACTGCAAAAACTTTCAATTGTTGATAAAAAAAAGACTATTTGAAATTTTGCAACAAAATTTACATAGTGTACTTTTCGACTACAAAACTCGGCGCTGCCTGAATATCATTGAAAAATATTAATCTTGGCGAATTCGGGGCCCACTTGAAGAAGCCTTACCCGTTTATAAATAAAATGTTGTTCATAAAAAATAAAAATGTTATTCATTTTAATATGAGTATACACATTAACATGCAGTACGAAATACCTTTATAATTTTACAGGAGCCAATAAAT